CGGGACTGAAACCGTCGACGACGCCCCCACTTAAGACTGCCCGCCGCCCCCCGCATTTGAAACCTCGCGCAGGCCCCAAGCGAGAAACAGGCCCGCCGTCGCCAACAAAGCAAACCACCGCTGCAACGGCATAACACGCCGCCCCCACTCGACCCACTCGTTGAAATGCACTCCCCACTCCAGCGTCATGCCAGCGCCATGACGGCCCAGCGATTCCCCGGCTTCCATGTCACCAAGGCCACCCCCACTCCATCCACAGCACTCCGGCGATAGAATCGGCGGCCCCATGCTTCCACCGGCATGAGCGCCTCGATATACTGCTGCCGAGCTCGCCCGACCCGGAATCGTCTGAGTCGCCCACCACGGCGAACAGAGTCTACAGGCATGCCGCCAGCGGCCCGAACAACAGGTGCGCTGTTCTGGAGAAGCCCTGCTCACGAGCATCGTTGCCAGGAGCCCGCCCTCGCACCTCCGACGGCGCGCCCGACGCCTCGAGGGCCGAAGCCCACGGGCCATCGCTGCAGGCAGACTCGGAAGGGGCGGGGGCCCAGAACAACTCGGGCGCGCGCATGAACGCTCGAGCCAAAGAGCTTGCGACGGGAACGCGCGCGCGAAACGAAGTTGCATTCGGAGCAGCATCACCTTCACACAGACCCCCATCCCCGCCCCCTCACGAACGCCCCCCGCCCCGCCCACACATGGGGGCGGGGGGGGGGGAAAGGCGAGGCCCGAAAAATTCACGGCCCGAGGACAGCGCATATTTCCCTGACCATCCGCGTGGATGGCCTGCATCTCCCCGCCTCGCCGCCGTGGCCGAAGGGGCCCGAAGCGATGGCAGGTGTCTCAGCGGGGGCCCGAACGCCCCTGCTGAACTTGAGCTGCTCGCGATTTGGCTTGTGAATGCACAGCTGATCCAACTCATAAACATGTCGCGCGGCTTCCATGGATAACCGCGACACTGCCTGCTCGACAAATGAAATTACATCGACTGCGGCATCTGAATCTCATTGGCTCGCGACAGCAGCCGGCCGCAGGCGCGGGCGCACGACGCGTCAATAACTTTGCTGCGCCCCCGACGCGTGTTCTAGGATGTCTACTGTTGCGGGCCGCCTGGGCCATCGGCCGTTCGACGCAGGGACAGGCCGCCTGACTGCAAGCACTTTGGTTGGAAATGCCGCTGGTGATGTTTTCGGCTGTCCGTCGTGAATTAACAATTGGGCGTCGTTGTCACGCCCGCTGGAAAACGAGTGAATTGGCGACGTGGCTGCGCGCGCGGCGTTGACGAACCGCCGACGCATTGCCCTCGCGCCCCAGACAAACAACGCACCACTGGTAGCCACGTTTTGCCGTCTGCCCTGCACTATCTCGATTCAGTCACGGTTTGCGCCGCCACCCTCTTGGGCCGCATCCCCAAGAGATTGCGCGTCGAGGCACAATCGCCATGACAGCGTTACCCCGAGAGGCCGTTTTAAGTGCTTCACCATGGTCGGCTCCGAGGGGCGCATTGGCACCTCTTGAAGCGGCCTCCGAAAGACTTTTAGATGGCCGCGACAGGAGCCCGAAAGGGCCCTTGTGGGCCCCGTCACCGAGCCAGCTTCGGCATCGACTGGCTCAAATGCTTAACTCTGGTTGGCCATTGGGCCACCTTGAAATCCTTTGAGGCCCCATCGAAACTTTCGGGGGGCCTGGGGTGGCCCCAGGGCCACACCCTGGCGAAGAAGCCAGACATCAGGTAACACCGGAAGTGTGGCTAACGAACGCGCCCGCTCTCCACCTGTCACGGACCCCGAGAAGCTGAGTATGTCCGGCGGCGACCAACTGTAGGCCGTAGCGACTGTAGGCGGCGTAATGGCCGCGGGCCGAGACGTCCTGGTGGTAGCGCCATGATCGGGTCAGCGTAAAACCAAGGCGATACACAGGCGGGGGGGGGGCGCTGCCTGCTGCTGAGCGCCGGTGTCACAGTGGGAGGGCGAGCCCCCCTCCACTGCAGTACCACAGGCGTGCGCTCGCAGGCTGGCAACCAGCCGATAGCCAGTGTATCCACATCGTATCCGACTCACGCGGTCCGGGGGTTCAACGATGCGATGTCCTGGCGAGGGCTTGGCATGTGGCAGCGCCGAGAAGAGCTACAACTTGACCGCAGGCTGAACCACACGATACGGGTCGCTCATACGGCGAGGGCACACACCATGGTGCGCGGTGGCACCCCCATCCACCGCATGCCACGCTGCCCCTGCGGAAGAAGGGTGCGTCCGGAGCTGGGGCAGGCAGTCTGCCGGCCGCAGCCAGGCCGCAGGGCAGTACCCTTCGCTGTCGGCGTGCTGGCCTGCTGGGCTGGGTTGCCCCTGCTGCTCCCTGGGCGGTTCACAACTTCACCGACGATGCTATCTATGCTGTTGAACGTGGGGGGGCGCAGCCGAGAGCCGCAGAGACTTGTGCTGGTGGGATACGCGAAGCGTCTAGAATTTACGTTGATGTCGTTGTTATGTGTCTGTCTAAACTCGCGGCACAGGGCGAGGAGATGTACAGTTCAAGTGACATGGGAAAACAAGCAATCTAGAACGTGCATGCCAAGGCATCATTGGACCGAGGATGCCGAAAGCAAACGGAGGATGTCCAGATTCGATAGAATGCAAGGGGCCGATCCTTGACGCTGGTCTCGATTGCAAGACCAGCAGCAGAAATAGCACGAGTCGCTCGCCGCAGTGAGCCACCCCGCGCAAAGCAGGGCCGTGCCGTGAAGACCCCGGCGTCAGTTGCGGACCCCGCGTGGATCGTTCAACCTCAAAGGATCGCGGCTTCCCGATAGCGCACATCGATCGATTGGCGCGCAGATCCCGGGCCGCCTGCGGCGTTCGACCATGGACGCCCGCGCCGAGGCAGCTGCCGCGTCGACACGACACGACCCGACCAGAATAGAGGCCTCCAAGATGGGGTCCGAGTGGATGGGGTCGGAGGATGGCGGGGCATCGCCGATGTATCGCCGAAGCACCGACGCTGTCGACGTTGAGAAGATCGGGCTTCACATCGAGCCGCATCGCGGATGGCTCGGCGATGCGGCGCGTCCCTCCGACCCCACCTACTCGGACCCCATCTTGGAGGCCTAGACGAATCCAGGGCCCTCGCCAGCCGATGGGTCTGCCTCGAGGGCTGCGTCGTGTTCTCTCTCTCCCTCTCTCTCCCTCTCTCTCTCTCTCTCAAGGCGGTGGCGACGTCTGAACCCTACCCACACCTACCAACGATTCTCCTGAATCGATGGCAGGCGGGGATAATCCCGGCTCGGATTTCGCACTCGGAACCCCGACCCCGCCGCCCATCGAGTCGCCCGAAGCGTTGATCCGCGAGGGCCGAGGGCTCGGATCTCGCCGCAGACCTCTCCCCCTCCCCCTCCCTCTCTCACTCTCTCTGCGGCTTACGGCGCCCGCGTCGCCGTGCGCGCGCCTGCGCCGCTGGGCGGCTCTGCAGCACGGCAGCCCCAGGTCGCCCCGGGGGGGGGAGCGCGAGGATTAACTCGGGCCTCTCCCCCTACAGGGGGATTTCGAGGAAACATGAAAAAATACAAGAAATACACAAAAATGACAAAACATGTTCAAAACATCGTCACCAGAATAGATTTTTCTTGTTTTGAATGTTCCTCCTGTGGAGGGACAGGCCCGACTTAACGCGAGGACCGACCGCGCCTCGCGCCTCGCGGCCTGGGGCCAGAGGCCCGCCTGTCCCCAGGGCGGCGGCGCGGGGGCGCGCAAGTCACCGCGCTGCGCCCTCCGCGCAGCGCGAGGTGGAGGAGGAGGAGGAGGAGGTGGAGGAGGAGGAGGAGGAGGAGGTGGAGGAGGAGGAGGAGGGCCAGGCCCAAATGCGCAAGCATCTGCTATCGTATGGCGTTCGGCGACGGGGGTGGCACCAACGGGCTCGCACCAAAAGGCCACCCTGGCGAAGGGCGACTCTAAAGTGGAATCGGCCCTTCGCCACCGTCTTCCTTCCGCCCTATCCCGCGGGCGGGAGGTGGAAGACGGGGGCAAATTGAAGAAAGCATTGGACAAACACAGCCTGGAATCCCTGAGCGCTGGCTGGCCCCAGAGGCCTGATCGCTCTGGAACATTAATTATGAGAGCGTTCCAGAACGCTTTAAAGCAAGTGCTCATACAGGTGGACGCCGGAGATGGGGGACAGAGAGCAGAGGGAGAGAGAGAGAGAGAGAGCGCGAGGGAGCACGCCATGAACGTCAAAGGTGTGTCGGCAATAATATCGGAGGTTGGGGGGTTGGAATGGTAGTGACCTCAGCCGGGAAATCGATTTCGGTTTCGGTTCGTGTCGTGCGTGCGGGCGAGGCGAAGCTGCGCGTGGTCCATCCATAGTAGAAGCCATGTATTGCCAAAAGGGCCCCCCCCGAGCGCCAGGCGTGGCCCCCAGTTGTCCCGGCGGTTGTCCTGGCCGTTGTCCCGATGGTTGTGGTTGTCCCGATGGTTGTCCCGATGGTTGCCCCGATGGTTGCCCCGATGGTTGTCCCGATGGTTGTCCCGATGGTTGTCCCGATGGTTGTCCCGATGGTTGTCCCGATGGTTGTCCCGATGGTTGTCCCGATGGTTGTCCCGACGGTTTTCCCGATGGTTGTCCGGATGGTTGGTATACAGGTAGGTGTATATATACGCATGCATGAAGATATATATATATATATATATGTGTGTATCGGTAGATGTTGTCCCGATGGTTGTACCGATGTATGTCACGATGTTTGTCCCTATGGTTGCCCCGATGGTTGTCCCGATGGTTGTCCCGATGGTTGCCTAGATGGTTGGCATGTATATCTAGCTATAGAAGGATAGATAGAGAGGGGTACAGCAACATCCGATGTAGCGATATATATATATATATATGTTTATACAGAACAAAGCAATCATAGACACAACACATGTTGATATATGTGTATATATATAAACTCGAAACGCACACAGCGATCTGTGTATATATACATATAGACATAGCCGCGCGGCATGCGCGGCCTGGCGCCGCGCGGCGATGGAAGATGTCGCTGTACCGCGGGTCCGCCCGCCTTCGGCGCGCGCTCCTAGATCATTGACACTCCTCCTCGTCATTGTCCCCTCCTCCTCCTCCTGCTCCTCCTCCTCCTCCTTTCTCCTCCTACTCCTCATCCTACATCCTTGCTGCTCCTCCTCCCCCTTTGCGGCCTCGTCCCTCCTCCCCCTCCCACTCCTCGTCCTCCTCGTCCTCCTCGTCCTCCTCGTCCTCCTCCTCCTCCTCCTCCTCCTCCTCATGTGCTCGTGCCGATCGAAAGGGTTCGGTTACTCCAAGCTGCTACTACTGCTACTGCTACTGCTGCTAGTAGTGCCACTGCCGCTGCCGCTGCTGCGCGGTTGGCGGCAGCAGCGCGAAGCTCGAGCTCAGCACTCCGCTGGAGTGCACGGTCCGAGAGCGGGGCGATGGAGGAGACAGCGGGGGGCAAAGCATCGGCATCGGCAGCGTCGAGAGGACGGACAGGTTGGGAGCGGGCAAGACAATAGAGTTAGTGGGGCGCAACCAGAGCAAATAAATGCAGGGGAGAGGGAGAGACCAAACCGGGCCTTAAGTGGGGCATTGGGGGAAGCTGGACTGTGGGAAAATACTCACAATGAAATCCTGAACCCGAGGGCAGAACGTAGAATGTGACTGCTTACATTCGCCGAAACATCCGAAAGCGCATATAGAACTCCTTTGGAAGCGTGAGTCTGCACACAAAGTTGTCCCTGCTGGGGGAACAAAGTATATTCATTCCTTCGACACACTGCCCCCGCACTTTGATATGGCACGAACACTCCAGGGGCACGGGTGGAGAAGTCGAGCAGAGACGGACCGACGGAGGGAGGAGGGGAAGATGTGAGAGGACAATGCGTCATGCGAAGCACGCTGGACCCTGTTGCCGTCAAACAGGGCTCGAGTGGCCGCGTCAACAGCAATGCCCCCAGCTTCTTTCCAGCAGGGAGAGGAAGGGGAGCCGTTGGCGGCCTCCTGGAGCCCCATGGCTACACGCGGGAAGGTCCAGTACTTGGGGCAGAAGTGGCCAAAACCAAGATCCTGGAGCCCAAGAAAATCTCGAGCCCAAGACACCGGGAGAGAAGAATGCTCCGCCCACACCGGCAAAGTCTTGATGGCGGTGAGAACTAGGGCAGCGAGGTTGGTCAGGATGGCGCCGCGGATCCTGGGGCCCCAGCGCCGATAGAGATGGAAACAGTTGGCCCGCGAGGGACAGCAATGCGGAGCTCTGAACAGAAACTCGAGCAATCGATGCTCAGTCGCTGCAACCTGTCTGCATGGCAACCTTTGGAATTGATCCGCATGCGACAACGTCGAGAGCGAACTGCTCTCGCACGCAATGGCAGCAACGGAGAGGGGGCTCCAACAGTGGCGATCGGCACCGTTCTGCTGGACCACACAGCAGTTGGTGCGTCCCGCGAGCTCTGTCCTGCGCCTGGCACTAGCATTAAACCGAGGTGCCTGAGTTCACTTCCTTCTTGGAGTTCGGCCCGTTCGGGGATGTCGGCAGCAATCCACTCGGAATAAATGCGCTAGATTTTTTGGGAGGGCCCTCCAACCAGGGGGGCCACGAAGCACTTGCCTACTTTCAGACGGAGGTTCGTTACTCGCTGACATGCTTGAAAGACAATGAAGGGACGCCTGAACGCCGTGATCTGAACCGCTGCGCTACCCTCGTCGTCGGCGCACGTCACGAAAGGTGTGAGGGGTGCGCCGAAATGGGGGTGGAACCTCCTGCGGACCCTGCTACTCGTGCCTTCGGTGGAGCTCCGTGTGGGGCCATGAAACGTATGAGGGGTGCTCCGAATTGGGGGGTGGAACCGCATGAGGACCCTGCCACCGGGGCATTCAGTGGAACGGCCACGAGACGTATGAGAGGAGGGCCGAAATGAAGGGTGGAACTGCACGCGGACCCTGCCACTGGGGCCTTCGGCGAAGCTCCCCATGAGGCCACGAAACGTGTGTGGAGTGCGCCGAAATGGAGGGTTCAACTGAATGCAGACCCTATCACTGGTGACTTCGATGGAGCTTCGTATGGGGCCACGGCAAATTTGAAGGGTGTGTGAGGGGTGCGCCGAAATTGATGGTTGACCTGCCTGCGGAACCTGCCACTGGTGCCTTCG